ACCGATCCGTGCAGGGGAATTTCTCGTAGTACCGCGAGCGTAATCGCGAGACGCGTGACGTTTTCGTAGTGCTCCGAACGCGAAGCGAAACCGTGTCGGTCGTTGAACCGGCCGGCACCGGCGCGGCGCGATGTAAACTACGCTCCGAGTATCACGGCGAGAGTTCTCTCTCTCCTCTACGAATTTCATCCGTCGCTCGCGTAAAACCGACATCGCCTCTGCTCGCGATATTTATGGGAGAGAAAAAAAAAAAAAAAAGAATGGCGAGAATCTAGTTCACGTCCCGCGTCTCGACTCATCTCTACTCGTTGTTTCCGCCCTCTTCCCTTTTTCCTATTTTGCTTTTCGAGAGGAAGCGCTCTCCACGCTCGAACGTGTATTCAACTTTTCCTGCACGATGCGTAAAATTGTTTTTTGCTCTATTATCGATCGTTCGTAATTAATTCCCAGCATGTATAAACATAAATTCTGCTATGAAATTAACGAGGATATTGAAGAAACGGATCTAATTTATTAGCGTTGAACTTACAACTCTGGTTGCAGTTTCCCTCATTTGTAATTTATTAGCTGCGGAAGTCAGGCGACTCACCTTGTATTACTATTTTTTTAATTTGCTGAACCTTCAACAAAATTTATTCATCGCAAAGTGCTGGTTGTTTTTTAGTCATTTATTGTACGATTGCAATCACGCTGGGTAACTGTATATACGGTGGCCTGGAAAATGCGAAGCTTACAGGGTGGAATCGGGCTCGATCGTAATTTAAAACGGAGCGCGAAAGCGAAGCGAGGCGACGTTCCATCGAGAATACGTTTCGGCATGACGAAAATGTACCAGTTAAGGAGCACGGTCAACGACCTCTTCGAGCTTCTTCTTCTTCCTATGCTCTGCGACGCAACGCTCGCGGTGCATTTCCGGGAATCGAGCACCGGCTAATTAGTTACACTAACTTTATAAATTAGGTTACTTTATCTCCGATAACTCTGCATTCATTAATTACTACTGTGAATTTTCATGGGAGGTAAATCGTGTTTACTGTCAATTTTAAAAATGAGAAATCAAAATTAGTAGTAAAACTATTTGCTACTTCAGTTCATGGGTTTGGTACAGTAAAATCTCTATTATATCACCTATTATGTGAATGTTGTTTAAACATTATTTCCTATTAGAATGTACAGTTAAGAGCAAAACTGAACACACGCTATTTAAAATTGAATAACT